CATATTTCCAAAGTCGAGAACTTAGCTAAACAATTAAAAGAGACTGGCGAGGAAATAAGTAATACAGCAATTATGACAAAAATATTAAGTACACTACCTTCAAAGTATCGTTCTCTGCGTCAGGCATGGCTGTCATTAGATCCACATTCTCAAACAATTCAGAACTTAACAGCAAGATTATTAGATGAGGAGGCGAGTTTGACAAATGAGGAGGAATCTGAGAGTGCTTTAGTAGCCATGAAACATTCTAAGCCACAAAGAAAATTTCAGAATCACAATATGCAAAAAATTTCAACGTCTGGTCAAAATAATCAGCATCGATTTATATGTTATAACTGTAACAAGAGAGGGCATTTTGCAAGAGATTGTCGAGCCCCAAAGAAGTCTGAGAGGAAACCTCAAGAGCAAAAGATGCTTGCATTCAGTGCCGAGCAATGTTTACAGTCTGAAGCAGATATAGATACATGGATTCTTGACAGTGGTGCATCTGCACACATGTCATACAGGCGCGATTATTTCAGTGAGTTAATGGATTATGGCAAGAATAGTGGTGGTACAACTGTGAGATTGGGAAATAAGAAGGAACTAGTGGTGCAAGCTTGTGGAAATATATTAATTAATAGATGTGTGAATGGAAAGTGGGAGAAAAGTATTCTAGAAGATGTACTTTATGTACCAGAGCTACGCAGAAATTTGTTCTCAGAAGGCATGGCAACAAGAAAAGGCTATGTTATAATTAAGAAGTACAATGAGGCCTTAATATTAAAAGATAATACTGTTGTTATGACTGCAACATTGAAGCAGAATAATCTATATGAAGTAAATATTAAAACCACAGTGCAAATAGATTGTAATTTAGCACAGTCAAGTTTGAAAATCTGGCATGAACGTTTGGGACATTTAAACTTGAAGGAAGTGAAAAACATGAGCAAGAATGGTGCAATTCCAGTAAAGTTAACGGATGACATCAACTTTGTGTGTGAGGCTTGTCAATATGGCAAACGGAGCCGCTTGCCATTTCATAAATCTTGTAGAGGAGAATGTGAACCTGGTGATTTAACCTACAGTGATGTGTGTGGACCTGTAGAACATACATCTGTATCTGGAGCAAGATATTTTGTTTTATTTAAAGATGGTGCCACCAGCTATAGACATGTGTTTATTATCAAGCACAAAAGTGATGTCCTGGATTGCTTTAAGAAATACAATGCAATAGTGAAAAATAAGTTTGGTCATGGCACTCGTATATTGCATACAGACAATGGACGTGAGTACGTTAACAATGAACTTAAATCTTATTTGAATAGTGAAGGAATAGTTCATGAACGCACAGCACCCTACACGCCTGAACAAAACGGTAGAGTGGAGAGAGAAATGCGGACAATAATGGAGAGTGCAAGATCTATGTTGTACTCTCGTGATATCTCATTGGATCTCTGGGCTGAAGCAGTAAACTGTGCTGTTTATTTATTAAATCGAAGTTCTTCTACCCAGACAAAGGATGTATCCCCATATGAGCTGTGGAATGGACAGAAGCCAGCCCTTCAACATATAAGAGTATTTGGTTCAGAAGGATATGTCCATATACCTGATGAAAGAAGAAGAAAACTAGATAAAAAGAGTGTAAGATTAATATTAGTAGGATATGAAAATGAAAATTATAGAATGTTTGATATTGAAAGTGGGAAGATAACAATAAGTAGAAATGTACACTTCAATGAGAACAACATACCAGTACTGAGGAAACACACAACTTCAATTTCTATCACCGATGAACAAGAGCAAGGAGAAGGCATACAAGATATACCAGTTTCTCCAGGAGACAACCAAAATATTTCTGAATCTAGTTTTGAAAGTGTAGAAACACAAGAAGATCCCAATGATGTGACGTACCAGCCTCCACAAATAATTTCTGAAGATGATGAAAGAAATATTACACTGAGACCTAGAAGGAAAAGAAATGAAGAAGCAAATTTTATTGAGTTAGATGTACCTACGACATATGAAGAAGCTATAAACTGTAAAAATAGTAATAAATGGAAGGAAGCTATATGTGAAGAATTAGAGTCATTAAAAGAAAATAAAACCTGGAAGTTAGTAAACAGAAATAATGAGAAAACAGTGACCTCAAAATGGGTATTTTGTGTAAAAAGAAATTCAGATGGTGATATAGAAAGATACAAAGCTCGTCTTTGTGCACGTGGGTTTACACAAACTAAGAACGTCGATTACAAGGAAACATTTTCACCAACAACAAGATTCGATTCCATTAGAATAATATTATCTCTTGCAGCTCGAGAGAATTATGAACTACAACAATTTGATGTCAAAACAGCATTTTTGTACGGTGAGTTATCAGAGGATGTCTATATGGAGGTGCCTGAAGGTGTCCATGCTGAGCCAAGGAAAATCTGTAAGTTAATAAAATCAATATATGGGCTAAAACAGTCATCACGCTGTTGGAATAGAAAATTCTCTTCTTTCCTAACTACTTATGGTTTTGAAATGTGTCCCTCTGACAACTGTATATTTGTGGGTCATTTTAATAATTATAAAGTTATCTTGATCTTGTATGTAGATGATGCTTTATTATTGTCAAAAAGTAAAAGTATATTGTTGCATATTATAAATGATTTAAAACAAAGTTTTAAGATAAAAGAATTTAATTTAAATATGTTTGTTGGCATGGAAATAACTAAAAATGATGGAATAATTACTTTAAGTCAAAAACAGTACATAAAACAAATTATAAATAGATTCAACATGTCAGATGCCAATCCTTGTAGTACCCCTGCTGACAATAATGTAATTTTAAAGAAAAACGATAGTGAGAGTAACATTAATTTTCCATATAGGGAAGCAGTAGGAGCCCTGATGTTTTTGTCAACCGTATCTAGGCCTGACATTTCTTATTCTTTGAATGTAGTTAGTAGATATTTAAATAATCCCAGTAAAGACCATGTAAATGCTGTTAAACGAATTATTCGGTACTTGTTAAAGACAAAAGATGTTTGTATTACTTATAATTGTCACAAAGAACTAGTAGGTTTTTCTGATTCTGATTTTGCCTCAGATATTGATTCTAGAAAATCTAATACAGGATATATTTTTATGATGAATGGTGGACCTGTTTCTTGGGCTAGCAGGAAGCAAAATACTGTGGCATTATCAACTACAGAATCAGAGTATATGGCTGCAAGTGAGGCTGCCAAAGAAATTTTATGGCTTCGGCAGTTATTAATTGATACTGATGAACCACAATTGGTGATAACCCTATGTATAGATAATCAGAGTGCTATTAAACTCATTCATAATCCTATTTACCACAAAAGAACAAAGCACATAGACATAAGATATAATTTCATCAGAGAAAAGGTAGAACAAAATGTAATAAATGTTCAATATGTGAAAAGTTCAAATCAACTTGCAGATTTTTTAACAAAAGCTTTACCTTCTGGTAAATTTATTCTTAACAGAGATCAAGTACTGAATATAAACTGAGGTTTTTAGGTATAATATTAAATACTTAGTAGGTTTAAAGGTTAGTTTTGTTGGTAGACAGTAAGTAAGCTGGTTTGAAGCTTAATTTAAGTATAGTATTGTAATCATTCTAAAATTTAACTGGGAGTGTTAAGTGATAAATTTTATAATGCATACTGTATACAACATAAGTCATGTTACCTTTGCCTGCCCTATAAAAAAAAAAAGGAATCCTTGCTGCTTGGTGTGTTTTTTTTGTATCTATGCCTCCCGGAAAATGTTTTTGTCATGTCATAGTTTTTTATTACAGTTCTCAACTTCTCATCTCTGTGCTTTATGTTAATACATAATAGAAATAAAAAGTTTATTTAGAAATCTTACTTAATATTATTATTTTTGGTCCCATAATAATATTAACAAACATCCTAATTTCAATAGAGAGGGAGGCTGGGTACTACCACCTGCTTGGGATCTTGTAATTAATCAAATTAAAACTAAACCCAAGTATACCACTGCAAGACTTCAAGACACACTAAGTTCGTTCTGCGTAGATCGGACCAAAATTAATAATTAAAAAAGCTGAAGGTACTCCAGGTTAACTCTGACATCGGGACGTCAATCACCTCAGTCCCACCGAAACGTCGGGAATTAATAAAAATAAGTTAATTAAAAGTTTATTTATTATTATCACATTTTTATTAATTCGCTTTCGTGTCTCTGTTCGGGTCAAATTAAGTAATTGATTTTAAACTTACTTCCCAATGAAGTAGAGGCTTGTTTAGAACATACCTCCGAATCGAATGAAAATGTAAGAATAGGAAGAAAAAAACGTGGTATATTAAACATTTTGGTTGTTAGAATTATTTTATTTAATGTATTAGTAACACATATTATCTCTTTTTTTTTATATAAACTTTAACTTTGTCAAAGCTCTTTCTTTGTGCTGCGCGCACATGCTTACTTTGCTATGCGCATATGCTTGAAAAGGGGTACAAAGTTTTTCATTTACGTATAATATAGGTAACTAGTTGTTCCCCGCGACTTCGTCCGCGTAGAATATATTACAATTATATTTCATGAGTTTTAATTATATTGCGCGGAACACTAATTATTTTTCTAAAATGAAAGTAGTCTAAGTAGCATATAATATCAGCTATCTGCCAGTGAAAGTCCCGTCAAAATCAATCTAGCCATTTCGGAGATAAGCCGGAACAAACAGAAAGGTAATAATTTAAAAATGTATTTTTTATTTTGTTATAACTACTGTATACTATACTTTTATATGCATTTAGTAAAAAGCTGTTATTTTGACATTACAAACAGACACTTCAATTTTATTTATTTGTATAGATATATCGTTGCCAATCATCCTGCCAAGCGTGGCAACTATGCCAAAATCCCCCTTATGAAGCAATCTAAGGGGGAGACCTATGTTCATTAGTGGACTTTTATAAGCTGTAAAGGATGGATGTATGTAATGGATGGTTACAGATATAGTATCGGTTGTGCAGCGCACGTACTTGGTAGGTCTCGGCGATGGCGGCGGGCACGAGCTGCGGCTGCGCGTGTATGAGCGCGGCCAGCACGGCCATGTTGTTGGGCGAGCGCGCGTTCGACAGCTCGTTGTAGATCGTGTGCGTCACCACGCTGCGCAGCAGCGCCGGGCTCTCCGACACCATCTCCCTGCACCACACACATCAATAATGGTTTCAAATGGACAACGAACTTATGTGAGCGAGAGCAACAGAGTCATGTTGTATTTATATTATGGCTTTAGCACGAATAATCTCATTACATTGGTCTATATCGGAGTGTGTTAGAACGATTGATTGATCACCTTCTTGAAGCGTTTTACACTTATTAGAGCCACGGTACAGTTATGCTCTAATTGTAGCACGAATGGGCCGGCTCGACCGGGGTGAAACTACACCTACACTAACACCCTGTACTCCGAAAGTTGGTGGTGTTTTCATTTAGGATAGTATATAAAGTTTTTGGCCCTGCGCCTGATTTCGCCCATCAGATTACGAGAATAAAGGGAATGCTCCTGCGTCACAGCTGCACAGCTGCACAGCTGCCGCTGCTCACTGACCTGAGGCAGGCCTGGTAGGCGGTCTGCAGCGGCTTGGTCTTGAGGCGCATGCGCGCGAGCTGCGCCAGCACCTCGTGGTCGCGCGCGGCGCTGGGCCCGGCGGCGGCCGCGTTGCTCCTGCGTCACAGCTGCACAGCTGCACAGCTGCTGCTGCTCACTGACCTGAGGCAGGCCTGGTAGGCGGTCTGCAGCGGCTTGGTCTTGAGGCGCATGCGCGCGAGCTGCGCCAGCACCTCGTGGTCGCGCGCGGCGCTGGGCCCGGCGGCGGCCGCGTTGCTCCTGCGTCACAGCTGCACAGCTGCACAGCTGCTGCTGCTCACTGACCTGAGGCAGGCCTGGTAGGCGGTCTGCAGCGGCTTGGTCTTGAGGCGCATGCGCGCGAGCTGCGCCAGCACCTCGTGGTCGCGCGCGGCGCTGGGCCCGGCGGCGGCCGCGTTGCTCCTGCGTCACAGCTGCACAGCTGCACAGCTGCTGCTGCTCACTGACCTGAGGCAGGCCTGGTAGGCGGTCTGCAGCGGCTTGGTCTTGAGGCGCATGCGCGCGAGCTGCGCCAGCACCTCGTGGTCGCGCGCGGCGCTGGGCCCGGCGGCGGCCGCGTTGCTCCTGCGTCACAGCTGCACAGCTGCACAGCTGCTGCTGCTCACTGACCTGAGGCAGGCCTGGTAGGCGGTCTGCAGCGGCTTGGTCTTGAGGCGCATGCGCGCGAGCTGCGCCAGCACCTCGTGGTCGCGCGCGGCGCTGGGCCCGGCGGCGGCCGCGTTGCTCCTGCGTCACAGCTGCACAGCTGCACAGCTGCTGCTGCTCACTGACCTGAGGCAGGCCTGGTAGGCGGTCTGCAGCGGCTTGGTCTTGAGGCGCATGCGCGCGAGCTGCGCCAGCACCTCGTGGTCGCGCGCGGCGCTGGGCCCGGCGGCGGCCGCGTTGCTCCTGCGTCACAGCTGCACAGCTGCACAGCTGCTGCTGCTCACTGACCTGAGGCAGGCCTGGTAGGCGGTCTGCAGCGGCTTGGTCTTGAGGCGCATGCGCGCGAGCTGCGCCAGCACCTCGTGGTCGCGCGCGGCGCTGGGCCCGGCGGCGGCCGCGTTGCTCCTGCGTCACAGCTGCACAGCTGCACAGCTGCTGCTGCTCACTGACCTGAGGCAGGCCTGGTAGGCGGTCTGCAGCGGCTTGGTCTTGAGGCGCATGCGCGCGAGCTGCGCCAGCACCTCGTGGTCGCGCGCGGCGCTGGGCCCGGCGGCGGCCGCGTTGCTCCTGCGTCACAGCTGCACAGCTGCACAGCTGCACAGCTGCTGCTGCTCACTGACCTGAGGCAGGCCTGGTAGGCGGTCTGCAGCGGCTTGGTCTTGAGGCGCATGCGCGCGAGCTGCGCCAGCACCTCGTGGTCGCGCGCGGCGCTGGGCCCGGCGGCGGCCGCGTTGCTCCTGCGTCACAGCTGCACAGCTGCACAGCTGCTGCTGCTCACTGACCTGAGGCAGGCCTGGTAGGCGGTCTGCAGCGGCTTGGTCTTGAGGCGCATGCGCGCGAGCTGCGCCAGCACCTCGTGGTCGCGCGCGGCGCTGGGCCCGGCGGCGGCCGCGTTGCTCCTGCGTCACAGCTGCACAGCTGCACAGCTGCTGCTGCTCACTGACCTGAGGCAGGCCTGGTAGGCGGTCTGCAGCGGCTTGGTCTTGAGGCGCATGCGCGCGAGCTGCGCCAGCACCTCGTGGTCGCGCGCGGCGCTGGGCCCGGCGGCGGCCGCGTTGCTCCTGCGTCACAGCTGCACAGCTGCACAGCTGCTGCTGCTCACTGACCTGAGGCAGGCCTGGTAGGCGGTCTGCAGCGGCTTGGTCTTGAGGCGCATGCGCGCGAGCTGCGCCAGCACCTCGTGGTCGCGCGCGGCGCTGGGCCCGGCGGCGGCCGCGTTGCTCCTGCGTCACAGCTGCACAGCTGCTGCTGCTCACTGACCTGAGGCAGGCCTGGTAGGCGGTCTGCAGCGGCTTGGTCTTGAGGCGCATGCGCGCGAGCTGCGCCAGCACCTCGTGGTCGCGCGCGGCGCTGGGCCCGGCGGCGGCCGCGTTGCTCCTGCGTCACAGCTGCACAGCTGCACAGCTGCTGCTGCTCACTGACCTGAGGCAGGCCTGGTAGGCGGTCTGCAGCGGCTTGGTCTTGAGGCGCATGCGCGCGAGCTGCGCCAGCACCTCGTGGTCGCGCGCGGCGCTGGGCCCGGCGGCGGCCGCGTTGCTCCTGCGTCACAGCTGCACAGCTGCACAGCTGCTGCTGCTCACTGACCTGAGGCAGGCCTGGTAGGCGGTCTGCAGCGGCTTGGTCTTGAGGCGCATGCGCGCGAGCTGCGCCAGCACCTCGTGGTCGCGCGCGGCGCTGGGCCCGGCGGCGGCCGCGTTGCTCCTGCGTCACAGCTGCACAGCTGCACAGCTGCACAGCTGCTGCTGCTCACTGACCTGAGGCAGGCCTGGTAGGCGGTCTGCAGCGGCTTGGTCTTGAGGCGCATGCGCGCGAGCTGCGCCAGCACCTCGTGGTCGCGCGCGGCGCTGGGCCCGGCGGCGGCCGCGTTGCTCCTGCGTCACAGCTGCACAGCTGCTGCTGCTCACTGACCTGAGGCAGGCCTGGTAGGCGGTCTGCAGCGGCTTGGTCTTGAGGCGCATGCGCGCGAGCTGCGCCAGCACCTCGTGGTCGCGCGCGGCGCTGGGCCCGGCGGCGGCCGCGTTGCTCCTGCGTCACAGCTGCACAGCTGCACAGCTGCTGCTGCTCACTGACCTGAGGCAGGCCTGGTAGGCGGTCTGCAGCGGCTTGGTCTTGAGGCGCATGCGCGCGAGCTGCGCCAGCACCTCGTGGTCGCGCGCGGCGCTGGGCCCGGCGGCGGCCGCGTTGGCGCACACGTGCGCCAGCAGCTCCTGCGCCGCGCGCCACAGCTTGCCCGAGTGCAGCCACGCCTCCAGCCGCGACGCCGCGATCATGCGGATCTGCCAACCAACACCACCATCACTACCGCCACTCTATTTATTTAACCATATATGGAACTTCAAGAAAAGAGCTTACTCTTTTTTAAAAGACCGGCATGCATCTGCAATTCTCTTGGAGTTGCAGTTGTTAATATGAGGAAGTAGTCACCGTAGTACCATCAGGTGAATAGCATGCTTGTTTGCCCCTTCATACAAAAAAAGAAACAACGAAGTGAAGAGCTCTTACATTAATTTTTTTATATAGAAATGGGGGAAAACGATCATGCCCAATGAAAAGTGTCGACCACCGTTCACGAACAACTACAACACCAACAGTGCGTTACCTGCCTTTTAAAAAGAAATAAGCTTGTTTCATGAAGGTACCTAAGTCGTGTTTTTCCGTAAAAATCGCCAGTCGTAAACGATGCTACAAAAATGTACGGCGGATAAAACTCACGCCAAACATCTAGATCGTGTGGATCGTATTGGGGATTATTTCGTAGTGTGCGTTGGTGGAATTTGGCGGCTGGAATTAATCCGAACAATTTTTCTAAGCACTCTCCGTTGTAATTTCTTTCAGGAGTTCAGTAATATATGATGAATAAAAGATAATTTGATTATAATTTGTTATAACATTTCTAAACAATATGGGACATATTGCGCAGTTTTTATGAGATATTGTCGGCAGCTTCAGCCAGCAGACTGTCTACGACGATAGTATCTTAAGGTGTCAAAAGGAACACAATAATTTGAGGTTCACGTCACTATCGGATCACTTGTTTCTTCGTTCCCATTAACAGTTCATATACCTTAACATTCCATAGACAAAATCGCACCACTTTTACGTACGTTTCAAACGATCAAATAGGAGCAGAAATCCACCAGCGGTTAATATCCCGTCAAAACTACAACTCATCAAAGTATTCCGTATCGTCTCGTAAAAAACGAAAATATTTTTCCGTAGTTTTATTCCGAATGTTCTGTGGGTACTCTATTTATGTAAACAAAATAGGTAATAGGTACTATATATGTTCGCGCCAAACGCTGTTGTCGGAATCGACGTTTAGGGGGCGCGCGGCTCTGGGCGATACCGGTTTGAAGTTCGGCCGAGCGTGGCAAGAGCCCGCGGGTCGCGAGCGAAAAAGGAGTCGTTTGCTAGCTGTGCTAATGTCTGCACGCTGTCAATTTTTGTCGGGAACTCGGAATAATTAGGCGCGGACGTAAATATACGGCCTAGGATTTGTGACGCGTATTCCTAGTTGGAGAGCTTCCCAGGGACTTATTGTGTCTGACTCAGAATCTGCATAAGTGCATTCGGCAATATTAGCTAGTGCGGCCGTTGATATTCTAGAACTAACTGTTGCTACGCGAAACGGTAGTGACCTTTGATCCGTCCCCCATATATTTTAGTGTAATTAGAGAAATTCCACGTGGCCACATTGAGGCCCGACCTACGTCTGCTCGGGAAGTCTTCTGCTCATGGGCCCCGGATGATTTGACCCTTTAAGGGAGCAGCCGTAGGCCGTAACAATATATGTATATATATATATATATATATATATATATATATATATATATATATACCTATTTACCGCTTTTAATTAACTCCTTTCCTATATTTTTTCAAATATTATCTTTTGTCACACTGTTTAAATAATTATTGTGAGATGCATCGTACAGTGCGGGATATATTGGGCCACCTGGTTTATCAGTTTCTCTTTCACGGAATCGGTTAGTCATTTTTTGAGAAAAATTCATCGTGTCGCTCGGGCGTCGGCGGCACTACTGATCGTCGATCGGGCGACATGTCGTCTGCCGCTCCGGCAAACGACGTGTCGCTAGCTACGGAAGGTATTTCATAGAACTACATAGAAACCATTAGTGTCGCGACGACACGTCGCCTGCTGCTGCTGTCTGCGGTCGGCTACGGAATGCTACCTTTACTGTCCTGTCACAACTTGTTGGATATAAAATGTTATCTACAAATATTGGTTCATTATTTTCACAGTTTCATAGTAACAATTACCTCTGGGAAGCCGCAAGTAGCTGAGAGTAACTTTAGAAAGCCTTTTCCAATGGTGTCCGGCGCAGTCCGTCGTTGAATCTGCTCCTTTATCGCTTCTAATACAAGTGCTTCCACAGTCTCGTAGCTGCTGGTGTATCTATAACAAAATTGTGACTAAAATATTACAAACAAAAAACCAATTCGAATGCAATTCGATTCATTGTATTTGGGCTTTAATGAATAAAATTATTAAAAGAAATAGTGTTTCCACTTACTGTTCATAATGAAGCCAAGAAAATTCATCAATAGAACTAACCTTGGAAACACGGAGTACTCGAGTTCAGTGTTGTCATTAACTTCATCAGTGCTGCCCAAGAGAGGTGATCCAGACCCTGATGGTGACATTGTACCTATCAAATTAAAACTATAAGAAGAACTTAAACAAAAAAATTAAAAATCGTCTATTGATTTTATACGTGGTAGAGCCATGCTACAGCTATATTATGATTGTAGCACGAATGGGTCGGCTCGACAGGGGCAGGACCACGCTCTCACAGAATACCAGCGTAAAATAGCAGCTTAACGCTGCTGTGTTTCGTATGGTGAATGTAGAGAACCGGAGACCCTTTTTACTGGAAATGAGGCATTCCATCTTAGTCCTCACGGGTGACAACGCATCTGCATTTTGATTCGTAATCGAAGATAGATGTAGATGTCTATGGGCCGCAGCAACCACTTACCATCAGGTGGACTGTGTGCTCGTTTGTCACCCTTATCCTATAAAAAAAAAGATTAAATCATTATTTTAAAAACAGAGTATTAAGAAATATTTAAAATTAACTCCTTTTTGATGGTTAGATTAATTTTTGACCATATATAATTTTTCTTTTAGTTTAACACATCATTATAATTTATAATGATTTCTCAGTCACAATAATTCCCTTTTTTAAAAAAATATTTATTAAAGTGTTAAAGTATACATTATTGATTAATTAATGCCTTGTAAATATTTTTATATTTCACTAACAATGTAAATTGTTATTTTAAAAACGTTTCCTGCTAATTTTTCCCAGATTGACTTTTTCCGAACTATTGGTAAAAGCAAATATTACTAAAACTCTATATTGAATAAAAAATATTTTGTTCCATTTCTATTCCTTATCTTACCCAGTGTATTATCAGTAGGTATTAAATGTGATGGTGGCTGCTTAGTGCCAAAAGCTGTAACAATGTTCTCAACTAAGCACTTGCACCATGAGCAATCCACCCACCAACGCTCATTAAGAGCATCTTCTATGTACACCTGTAAAAAACCGTTAACATTTTAATAATAAAATTCAATTGACCAACAGCAATAAATTTATGCATATAAATATAAAGACATTTAATTAAGTAAACATATTTTCCATTATAATCTAGTGCTACGTAAAAATATTGCATACGAAAGTCAGCAGTTATGGTATATATTAAAATTATAATTCATTTTTTGTCAATCGTTTATTGAGGCATTTCATCTTAGTCCTCAAGGGTGACAACGCATCTGCATTCTTAATTAAAGATAGATGTAGGTGCCTATGGACCACAGCATCCACTTACCATCAGGTGGACTATCTGTTCGTTTGTCTTAGAAATTGACATTTATTGAATATACATATGCAGGAAACAAACATAAGTCAGTAAAACATACCTTAATGAAGGTGTCGGGCCAATTAGTGCTGTCTTTATGACCAGCGTACAACATGTTACACGCTAGCACAAAAACAAGAGGATTGCCCTTGTTTTTAAACGCTGCTCCCTGCTCTCTCTTCAGCAAAGTGCAGAGACTCTGCGTAACAGTCTCATGTGCAAACATGTTCGGTCTAATCTTTGTCAGATACAGCATGCTCATACAAAGGATGATGTCTGGTTTTGAACGTTGAGATTTTAGTAAACGGATTGAACCGGTTAAAAGGCCCAACTGCAATAAAAAATACAAGTAGAGTTTTATTATTCAAATATCATACATATCCATGTAAGCCATGCACAAATAAATACGTTAGTTGCAATTTTAATGATTTACCACATGTGGTAAAGGAAAACATTGTGTAGGACACCTCCACAAACAAAACATTTCGCTGTCGTGAGAATTCCACCAACATGGACTGGAGCAGTGCAGTGGATCAAATCGTCCACTCTATAATCTTCTCCTCAGGCATGACAGCAAGCCTGTGTCCAGCAGTAGTAGGTAGTTTAGTTTAGTTTACGACGGGCTGTTTTCCGCAACTTCACGTCCATCAGGAGTAGGTATTTAGCCTGTAACTTCACTTTTTTACTTTATATCTTCTTCATCTTCCTCAAACACTTTTGCTTTTGTTGATGTTGATTAATGTATGCCCGAAATATCGATAGTATTGCTAGTGGTAGTCATCATCATCATTATTACAGCCCTTCACAAGTCCACTGCTGAACATAGGCCTCCCCCAAAGAATGCCACAAAGCATGGTCCTGAGCCACCTGCATCAATCGACTTCCTGCATGTCTTACCAGGTCGTCACTCCATCTCGTGGGGGGGTCACCCTACACTTCGCCTACCGGTACGAGGCTGCCACTCGAGAACCTTTCTTCCCCATCGGTTGTCGGTTCTTCGAGCTATATGGCCGATCCACTGCCACTTCAGCTTACTAATCCGTTGGGCTATGTCGGTTATTCTGGTTCTACTGCGGATATCCTTATTCCTAATTTATCACGCAGAGAAACTCCGAGCATAGCCCTCTAATGGTAGTAGACCTTAAAAATAAGGATATCTATCTGTAGCTCAAAATATGGCAATGCATTATTGTAGATGGTTACACCATACCATGAAGAGAAACTCTATGCCAACAATATGTGTACAGTGATACTGATAGTTGTATAAATAAGCAATTTATAACCTGTAATATAGTTGTTATGTATAATATAAACTTATACATAACCAGTTAAAATAAAGACTCATGAATATATGAAATATATGAATATATGAGTCTTTACTGCTTAAAATAAAGGAATAAATAGATAAATTAAAAATAATGCTACTACGTCATGCAATAGCATTAATAGTTTTGAATAAATTTATCATGATAAAGTTTCTGCAAAGAAGAAATGTGCGTAGAATGAAAAGTTATCTAAACATTACAAACACGGCACAAATAAACACAAAGTCAACATACTAGCTTATCAGAGTTATGAGTATCCAGTGCTTGAAGAACATTTGGTACTAAGTCAATTGGCTCCACATCCAGTGAAGTACCACCAACTGTTTCAGCAGGCGAACCAATTCTGGACCTCTTGCTTGGTGGCTGGCTGCCAAAACCTGATGTTTCACGTTTACGTTCCACACCTTGATCATGCAATATATAATAATAACATATTAGGAAATATAAGTTAATGCTATATTTTTATTACACCATATTGCCGTGGTAGCTCAGATGGTTAGCTGTAAATTTCACAGTACACAAGCAAACTGTGTTTGATCCCCACCGGCACCACCGGCCAATATTTCTCGGGAAAACGTCACCGAGTACCGGAACAAACTTGTGTCTGAAGTCGAGTCTTTGCTGGACAAAGTCTCGGATTGGGGGCGACTAAATCTAGTCCAGTTTAATCCTCAGAAGACACAAGTTTGCGCGTTTACCGCTAAAAAGAACCCCTTTGTCGTATCTCCTCAGTTTCAAGGTACTCCCCTTGTTGCCTCAGCCAGTATCGGAATCCTTGGCGTCGACATATCGAGTAGCGTGCAGTTTCGTGGTCACTTGGAAGAAAAGGCCAAATTGGCCTCTAAAAAGCTTGGCGTGCTCAGCAGAGCGGGACAGTATTTCATGCCGGCTCAACGCCTGCAACTTTACAAGGCGCAGGTTCGGCCTCACATGGAATACTGTTCCCATCTCTGGGCTGGGGCTCCCCAGTGCCAGCTTCTTCCACTTGACCGCATCCAGCGCAGAGCGGCTCGAATCGTCGACAACCGAGTCCTTTCCGATCGGCTCGACTCATTGGCACTGCGAAGAGATGTTGCATCTCTTAGCATTTTCTTTCGCATTTACCATGGGGAGTGCTCTGAGGAATTGTTCGGATTAATCCCAGCCGCCAAATTTCACGAACGCACATCGCGGCAGAACTCCCGATACCATCCACACCATCTGGATGATTGGCGGTCCACCACTGTGCGATTTAGAAGATGTTTTCTTCCTCGCACAACTTCCTTGTGGAATAATTTACCACCAGCGATTTTTACGGACCGATACGACTTAGGGACCTTCAAGAAAAGAGCCTACTCCTTTTTAAAAGGCCGGCAACGCATCTGCAATTCCCCTGGTGTTGCGGTTGTTCATGGGCGGCGGTAGTCACTTACCATCAGGTGAGCCGCATGCTCGTTTGCCCCCTCTCCTATAAAAAAAAAACCAATGAAATTGTTAATTGCAATTTTAAGAGCTGATTTACCACATGCTCAGCGGTGAAGGAAAACATCGTGAGGAAATCTGCATGTCTGAGAAATCAAGAAAAATAAATATTTTGTTTTGTTAAGTCTAAGTCTAATCCATTGCAGCTACAGTTTAATTAGTAGGAAGCTTTGCCTTCATTTAGTATTATCATACAGATTTAAAATTTTATAGGTGGTAGAGCCATGCTGCAGCTATATTATGGTTGTAGCATAAATAGGTTGTCTCATCTGTGGAATGACTAAACTCTCACAAAATACCAGCTTAATGCTGATGGGTTTCTCATGATGACTGTATAGAACCAGAGACACTTTTAACTGGATATGAGGTATTCTATTCATCTGCATTTTGATTCTTAATCAAGGATAAACGTAGATGTCTATGGGCCACAGTATCCACTTACCATCAGGTAGACTGTGTGCTTACTTATCAACCTTATTCAACAAGAGGTAAAATTAAAAATTTTGTACAACCAACTTCAATATAAATAAAATGAGAACATCGTCAATGTAGTTGAAGTCAATTAAATACGCATTATTAAGGATAACTCAAAAACTGCTGGTCAGATCTTGATCCAGCTTTGAAATAAAAAAAGAATCATCAAAATCGGTTAACCTATAAAAAATTTTTAAGGTAACATACATAAAAAATACAGTAAAATTGAGTACCTCCCCCTTTTTGATGATTAAGTATTGAGATATACCTAGTCAGGTCATAAGTATTGTCACACAGTAAAAACTTTTCTTTTAGAATGCTGGCCACAAAAAAGTTTATTGAATTCGAATTTCGAATTGTTCATGAAAATAAAACTGTATATTTTTTAGAATTTTACTCATTTTTAAATATGGAGTGGACGCTTAAAGAAGACCGTGTTGCAGTTATTGCGTTGCATCGTTGCGGTTACGCGCCAATTCAAATTTTTGACATACTGAAAAATTTGAATATAACCAAAAGATTCGTTTATCGTACCATCAAACGATACAATGAAGACTCTAGTGTAGATGACAGATCAAGAAGTGGTCGCCCTCGGTTTGTTAGGACTCCAGCAGTGATAAAAGCTGTGAAGGCGCGAATTCAAAGAAATCCCAAACGTAAGCAGAAACTGTTGGCCCTTCAGATGGGGTTAAGCAGAACCACGGTGAAAAAGCGTGTTAAATGAAGACTTAGGGCTTCGGGCATATAGAAGAAAAACAGGACATCGTTTGAATGCTCGTCTAATGGACCTGAGACTGAAGAGATGCCGCGCTTTGTTGAAGCGGTACGCTGGAAAAAAATATCGGGAAATTCTTTTTTCGGATGAAAAAATTTTTACCGTAGAAGAGAGCTACAAAGAAAATGATAAGGTGTACGCACACAGTAGTGAAGAAGCGAGCAACCGTATTCCGCGTGTCCAACGAGGTCATTTTCCATCCTCGCGCATGGTATGGTTGGGAGTTTCTTATTGGTACATTTTTGTGAGAAACGTGTAAAAACGAATGCAGCTGTGTATCAAAATACAGTCCTGATGAACCTTGTGGAGCCTGTTTCTCATACCATGTTCAATAACAGGCACTGGGTATTCCAACAAGATTCGACGCCAGCTCATAGAGCGAAGAGCACACAAGACTGGTTAGCGACACGTGAAATCGACTTCATCCGGCACGAAGACTGGCCCTCCTCCAGTCCAGATTTGAATCCGTTAGATTACAAAATATGGCAACACTTGGAGGAAAAGGCGTGCTCAAAGCCTCATCCCAATTTGGAGTCACTCAAGACATCCTTGATTAAGGCAGCCACCGATATTGACATGGACCTCGTTCCTGCTGCGATAGATGACTGGCCGCGCAGATTGAAGGCCTGTATTCAAAATCACGGAGGTCATTTTGAATAAACTTTAGTGTCATAAGAATCTATGTTTTGTTAAGTTCATTTTGGTATATAAATGGTTACATAATGAATAAACTTGTTTCAATTATTTTATATTAAACATGTGACAGAATTTATGACCTGACTAGGTATATGGTCTTATTACTAACTCCTTTTTTGATGATTAAGTATTGAGATATGTATGGGCTTATTACTAAATATGGTTTAAAGAGCCATGGGTTTAAACTACGGTTAAAGATAATAATTAAAGCATTATTAATAGCTTCAGCTTGATGCCATCAATAAACCATGTTTTGTTAGAACATTGGTTGTGTTTAATGTCAGTAGATAGGTGGCTGTGACTTGGCCTTATATGAGCAATATGTATGGACATTATACGACATCACTATTCACAATAATTGGTTCCAGGTCATAAAGTGGATTAGCTAGTTTTGAGTTGAACGACAATCTAGTGATTTTTATAAACATATCATTTTTCATAAGTAGCATTGAAAAGAGAGAAACATGAAGCATGTTGTTTCTTTTGTGCTCGGATATTTGAAATGTATAATAGGCAAAAACTAAATATCAATCGAAATTGAAATACTATAAATAGACTTAAAACAAAAAAAAATATATTATTACAATCAATTGTATATTATTACAATCAATCAATTGTAATAATGTGTATTTTTTTGTTTTTAGTCTATTTACAGTATTTCAATTTCGTTTGATATTAAGTTTTTGCCTCTTATACATTTTAAATATCCAAGCACAAAAGAAACAACATTCAAGAATTTCACTTATATAAAATCAGAATCTCGGAAATGGCTCCAACGATTTCCTTGAAATTTAGTATGCAGGAGGTTTCGCGGGCGATAAATTGATCTAGGTAGGATTCATATTTAGAAAATGTGGTTTTATCCGTGTTTTCAGGCAATGAAAAACTGCTACAATATCATTAGAATACAAAGGTAAATTTCACCACCATCTACAAAGTTATAATAGCTCAGTTGGGAATTTGAGCGGTCCCGATACCAGAAGACCCCAGTTTGAGTCCAGATGTCTTTTTTCCCCTTTTTTTTCAAGTTCCATCTTTTGTGAGAAAAGCTATTATTGGGAGCCTTTTGTCAATACATCTAATTCGTATCGTATATTTTCTTAAAAAAACACGAAAAAAATGACCGAGCTTTAAAAACAGAATATTGTAGGTAAGATCGAAAAATATTATTCATATTTCATCAGTATGTAATTCGGATCTAAATATAATTTTGAAAAAACACGATTTACAAAAAAAAAAAATTGAGCAAAGCTCGGTCATCCAGGTACTATTATATTAATAATGTCACTGCAAAACTACAAAACATATAATAAAGCTAAGCTAAGTAACATAGTTAATTAATCTTTGTTTCACAACAAACATTTTAGTGAAATCACTTTGCCCAGAAACTTTTATTATATTTAAAAAAAAGTTACTGAAAAATTAAACTAGTTTTTAAAACCAGTGCCATCTTTGCCACTAATTGTGTTACATTTCAAGAAAATAATGTAACGTCTAATGGTTCTAGTGAGAGATGCGAATTCTAAAACTTGAGTTTTAATTGCCGAGTGCATGAAGAGATGCGTATCTTAATCTGTAAGTGTGAATATTTTATATTTTAGAATAGAATAAAATAATTCTTATTCAATTATATGTAATTTTTATTGAATTTAGTTAATTCGCTCCTGCTTGTTATTTAGAAATATTTATAACTAAATAACTGATTAAGTAAATTTTAATAGAATTAGATACATAAAAATTTTGAATGAGAGTATCTAAATAATGAGCTGACACAAACTAAACTTGTTGTAATCCCTACATATAAAAGTCAATTGTCTCGCAATTATTGAAAAATGGCTGGACCAGTTTTTTATGATTTTTTTTGTGTTTTAATGGGTCCCTGGATGGTTTAAAATCAGAATTGAACCCGGTCGGTGGCACTGTTGTCTAGATCCAGGAATCACACCTGCGAAGGCGGAGCGAATGGCTAGCTTTAATAAAAAAAATTACAATTAAATTCTATAACGAAAACCTACCACTTGAAGAAGGCTTATGTATATTTCTCTTTTCGGAGTCTCTTGAAACAACCACAGTTGATTTGCTACCGAGCGCGAAAATATCCTGGGGATGCTGTGGGGCTTTACTTTTACCTCCGCGGCCTGTAGATGACATTTTTCCTCTTTCCATTGTTATCGCTAGAATTTGCTCTCGAAGCTAAAACAAGACATTAACTAACATTGTAATGTGTCTTGATATTATACCAATTACGTATGTTATTTTATTTTATTACCAAAATGCCGATTCACAACAAACATCAATCACACGATTTTTAAAATTCACATTGACATTTGAGTCTGACAATTACAAAAATGACAATTACATACAACTTTTCTTAATTATTTCCAGGCAAAGGGATCTATGCTCATACAATCTTGTCTCAAGTGTATTTGAATAAAAACAATTTGCCACAATAATTTCCAATAATAGTTCAAGTGACACTTCAAGCCATCATTTAAATGAAGCATCATTTACACGAGCAGCAATCTATCAACAATAAAGTTCTCTCCAAAACTCCCAAAGCAATGCCAGCAACTTTCAACATACAGCACTTATACTTATACTTATACCTATCTTCACGCACAATCCCTGACGAGGTAGCCAGAGAGAACAGATCGCCAAGTGTCACGATCCTTACATACCTCTTTCGCTTCTTTCAGATTCATTATCTTCTTAATACATGCACGTCTAGGTATCCGAGTACTCTTGACCCTCCCCTCCTCAAGCAATTTGCTCACATGGTCTTCGAAAGTTAGTCTCGGTTTACCTCAACACCTTTTAGTATTTACTTTCGTGTTATATATTTTCATTCAACTCATTCGCTCAACGTACCCAAACCATCGAAGCACGCCCTTATCAATTTTTGTGGTAAGGTCATCTTTCAAACCTGCCATATTGCGAATCTCTTCGTTTCGCTTTCGGTCGGCCATGGTAACGCCGCACATTTTACGAAGAGATCGCATCTCCACTGCATTCAACTTGCTATTATGCTTCTTCTGGCATACCCAGGTTTTGCTGCCATATAAGAAAGTCAGTACCAACACTGCGTTATGTATTGCAAGGCGTGCACTATTCACTACGCCTTGTCTTTTGACTAACGCAGTCAGGGCACCATTGACTTTGTTCCCGGCAGCGACACGCTTGTCCACATCTAAATCACATCTTCCATCCCGGCTGAAAGCACTCCCCAAGTATACAATTTCATTTACCTGTTCTAGACATTCCTGATTTACCCATATTTCACACTTCGTTCTCTCTTCGTCCCTTTCAAATACCAGAACCTTAGTTTTATTAGCATTCAAACGGAGACCTTTAATTTCACATTCCTCTTTCATACACGTGACTAATGCCTGCAGTTCTGCCTCTGATGGTGCAATAAGCACTGCATCATCAGCATACAGCAGACAATTTACTTCAGTGTCACCCAATTTCACACCCAAACAGCTATCTTTCAGCTTCTGTAAACAGCTGTCGAGCTGTTTTACGCCCGTTGGGACGCTAAACATGGCTAACACAGGATTTACAGTCACAGTAAAGTGACTGCACAGCCCTTAGCAATCGACCATCCACACCATAGCCCGGCAACAGTTCCCACATTTTCTTCCTTACAACCTTATCAAATGCTTTCTCAAGATCCACAAAAGCGCAGAAAATCCTCTGGTTAGCAGCCAGAAGTTTTTCCGCGATCATGTGGAGAGAAAACATTTGATCCGTGCATCCTCTTCCAGGTCTAAATCCGCATTGTGCCTCCCATAGAAATCTTTCCGATTTCTCTTGCATCCTACGTGTCAAAACCTTCGAGTAAACTTTACTTGCTAAACTGGTCAAGCTGATCGCCCGATAGCACCCGCAGTCAAAATGTGAACCTTTACCTTTATATAAAGGCACAATGACTGACACCATACTTGACCATTTCAGCAGTAACTCTGTCTAGTCCCGCAGCCTTACCACATTTCAAACTTTGAATCGCACGTTCAATCTCTTTCATGCTGATGACCTCAGTGTCATCGAGGTCCGGGTCTGGCGTACCAGTCACGGCGTCACCTCCGGATCCCTCACTAAGATCATGACACGCATACATTTCTCTATAAAATTCACTCCATCGCTGCATGACGTCCGATTTTTCTGAGAGGACGTCATTGGTTCTCGAAAGCACTTTGTTCATTCTTAAGGCCATCGCACTACTTGGGGTCCTTCCAACCTCTTTCCAGAAGAGTTTGGAGTTCTCCTTAAAGTTGTGATACAACCTTTCGTCCGCTTCCATTCTACACCTTTCACGCACTTCCTCAATCAATGTTTTCGTATGATTTTTCTGCAGCTTATATCTTTCCTTCATCTTCTCTCTCATATCCTTATCATTACTAGAGGCCAAGTAGTCTAACCATGCTTTCTTCTTCTTCTTTACAGCTTCTTTCACTTCATCATTCCACCATGCATCTCTTCTTTATTTTTCATACAGCACAACCATTATTTATTAATTAATAAGTTAATGGCTTCATTCAACTAAAATTAACATATCGAACTTTGAATACAGCATTATTCCATACTTTATGTGAATTTAAACCAAAAATTTAAACGAAGGCTGAGTTAAAAGTGATCAGCACCGTGATCTTGTCGCAATTAAAAGCGGGCTTCATCACGCGCGGCAGTTGCAACCACCGCAGAAGGCCATTTCTCCAACAGTTATTTCCCATTGTGCCAACTCTCTAAACCTAAGCTTATGACTGTATACGCAAACGGTCAAGTAATACTAGCTGCACTGCGTTAACCAGGGCTCTTTTTTCTGTTGCATGGGTAATGCCTACGCACATCCGCCTCGCGGGGGAAAGGGCTGGCTATGTTGGACACACACTGACTAAAACCCCAGGCTTTCACACACATCCACGCCCCACCCCTGCGCCGACCGCCGCATGGCGGCCTCTCTTCGGGAGAGGACTAATCTTCCCCATCTCCTTGTCAAGTAAGGTGCACCAGAACACATCGCGCGCCTTCCTCCTCGGCTTCCAACTTCACCTGCGCAACAGTCGCTCCCGTGTCCGATGCGCGAAGGCCATAGGGCCAAAAAACTAGGCTCAGAAGTACTAGCCTTCCCGACCCCAGTGGCGGAACTGGCCTATGCCTCCGCCGCCAACCAAGATTCGGCTGTGAAGGGTAGGGAGAGCGGTGCCTTGCAATACCGACACTCCTCTTCCTCCGTGACTCCAACTCTCTCGCCGCAGCCCACCAACATACATCTGAAGTGAGCTTGCCAAGCCCACTCGGAGTAGGCACCTCGGGCCAGCAAGGTTCCTCTTAGTTTACCGTGGGTGATCAAGCCACGGCTACTAAACCCCTCCGCCACGACAAGGCAGGAACCTGTTCGGGGGTAACCAGAGCTACCTCAGCAGGTGTGACTGTCACACGCGATTATCCCGCTGCTTATACCTACGGACAGGATTACACTGCGGCATACCGCTTAACGCAGGAGATGCATTTAATCGACCATCACGTAAATATTATATGAATGTGAAAGAACCGATAGGAGTATGTCAGGGTCTTGACGAACGGAAGTCTGCAGTATTTGCCACCCCCTCTCGATGACAGACGTTAGAGTTTATGTTATTATTTTGAATGTTTCTTTGTAATGAAACTACATGTTTGAGAATTATTTTTTTATTTCAAAAATCAACTTACAAACAGGAAATTATACTGATACGACTTAGATGATGTAAACATATATATCATCTAAAATTAGAGCAAATACGAATATACTAACAAGTTAGTACAAAAAAGATTAAGGTAATGAAAGAAAATGTAGTTTATAATTTGAAAATTAATCAAATAATTAGTAGCAAATTATGTAACAATTTCTAATGAGATATTTATTTTATTTTCTTCACTTTTGAATCTGGACGCTTGTGCTTGAAAAAGGTGCGTTCTCTACTTTTTAATTCATTCCTTACTTGGGAAAGGGATATCGGTGCCTGAAAAAATATAAAATATGTGTATATACATAGTTCAAAGGTTGAAATATGCGGCTGAACTTTCTTGTAGATTCTTACATATTATACACTAGCGACCCGCCCCGGGTTCGCCCGCATAGGATCTATTAATGTAGCATTATTTAGATGTAAGTTAATGAAAGACCATTTATTTTAATCTTCAAGATTTTTGGATAAAATATAGCCTAACTTTACGAACAGATAGAGAGCTATGCCAGGAGGTATCCTCCTGGCATAGCTCTCTATCTGTTCGTAAAGTTTCATCACAATCGTTTCAGCCATTCCGAAGATTAGCCCAGACAGACAAAAATTAAAAAAATTGTTTGTGTCTTAATAGTAGGCAAATAACTCCTGAGCTCAATCATTCATCATTACAGACTTTCATAAGTCCACTGCTGAACATAGGCCTCACCCAAGGAATGCCACAAAGCACGGTCCTGAGCCACCTGCATCCATCGACTTCCTGCATGTCTTACCAGGTCGTCACTCCATCTCGTGGGGGGTCGCCCTACACTTCACCTACCGGTACGAGGCTGCACTCAAGAACCTTTCTTCCCTATCGGTTGTCGGTTCTTAGAGCTATATGGCCGGTTCACTGCCACTTCAGCTTACTAATCCGTTGGGCTATGTCGGTTACTCTGGTTCTACTGCAGATATACTCATTTCTAAGTTTATCACGGCAGAGAAACTACGAGCATAGCCCTCTTCCATAGCTCGCTGAGCGACTTTGAGCTTCCTCAACGGCCAGCAGTGAAGGACTACGTCTCAGATCCGTAAGTCATCACTGGCAACACGCACTGATTGTACAATTTCGTCTGTCGAGTATGTTTGACGAGAAGATGTGTCGTAGTTTCCCAAACGCTGCCTAGCCGAGTTGAATCCGTTGATTGACCTCTCGGTCGAAGTTGGACTTACCTAGTCGGACTATTTGTCCCAGGTAAACATACTCGTCAACAACTTCGAGCTTAGTGCTCCCAACAACTACCGGCATAGGTGTGACATTGACATTAAACATGATCTTTGTTTTGTCCATGGTCATCCTAAGACCTATTCGTTGGGACACACTATTGAGGTCATTGAACATGGTGCTTAGGTCTTTCAGCGATTCTGCCATAAGGACTATATCGTCGGCAAATCGAAGGTGAGTGA